GATCTCAGGTGATCCGCCTGACTTGGACTCCCAAAGTGCTAGGATTACAGACATGAGCCATCGCCCCTGGCCCTCAGAAGAGAAAACTGATTTATACTTCCAAATTTCAAAGTTACTAGAAAGCTAAAGAAAACCAAATATAATCAAGACAATGTGGAACTAACATTACAATAGACATATAAATCAATGAAATAGAATTGATTCCAGAAATCAAATTTAGTCACATTTATGATCAATTGATTTTTGATAGGGGTGCCAAGACAATTCAGTGGGAAAAGAACAGTCTTTTCAACAAATGGTACTGAGCAACTCAATATTCATATGCAAAAGAAAAAAGCTGGACTCCTACTTCACACCATAAAAAACTTGACAAAAATTAACTCAAAATGGACTCTGGACATAATTTTAAAAGCTAAAACTACAAAACTTATGAAGAAAACACAGGGATAAATTTTCATGACTTTTGGTTAGGCAATAGTTTCCTAGATACGACACCAAAAACAGAAGCAACAAAAGAAAAATAAATTGGACTATATCAAAATGTAAAACTTTGATAAACAATACTACCAAGAACATGAAGAGTTAGCTCACAGAATGGGAGAATATATTTGCAAATCATATAGCAGATAAAAGATTTGCATTTAGACGAACAAACAAATTTTACAACTCAATAACAAAGTAAATGCAATTAAAAAGTGAGCAACAATAGACATTTCCCCAAAGAAGTTGTACAAATGGTTAGTAAGCACATGAAAAGATGCTCAATATCAAAAGTCACTAGAGAAATGCAAATAAGAATCACAGAGATATCACTTGTCTGAGATATCACTTCAGACAATAACAAATGTTGGCTAAGAAATGAAGACATTTGAACCACCATACATTGCTGGTGGAAAAAAAATTATACAGACCTTCTGGAAAACAGTCTGGCAGTTCCTGAAATGTTAAAGATAGAATTACCATATGATCTAGCAATTCTACTCTTTGTATATATCCAGGAGAAAGGAAAACATATGCCAATGCAAGAGTTTGGACACAAATGTTTATAGCAGCATTATTCATACCAGCCAGAATGGAAACTACCGAAAAGTCCAGCAACATATTCATCCATAATGAATGGATAAACAAAATGTGGCATACCCATAATTAAATACTATTTGACAATATAAATGAAATACATTCTTTGGCTGGGCACAGTGGCTCACGCCTGTAATCCCAGCACTTTGAGAGGCTGAGGCAGGTGGATTGCCTGAGCTCAGGATTTGAGACAAGCCTGGGCAACAAGGCGAAACCCTGTCTCTATTAATATACAGAAAATTAGCCGTATGTGGTGGTGTGCGCCTGTAGTCCCAGCTACTTGGGAGGCTAAGGCAGGAGAATTGCAAGAACCCAGGAGGCAGAGGTTACAGTGAGCCAAGATCACACCACAGCCGGGGTGACATAGCGAGACTCCATCTCAAAAAAAAAAAAAAAAAACAACCAAAAAAACAAAACGGAGTCTCATTCTGTCACCCAGGCTGGCGGGCAGTGGTGTGATCTTGGCTCACTGCAACCTCCGCCTCCCAGGTTCAAGAGGCTATTCTCCTGACTCAGCCTCTTGAGAAGCTGGGATTACAGGCGCATGCCACCATGCCCAGCTAATTTTTGTATTTTTAGTAGAGATGGTGTTTCATCATGTCGGCCAGGCTGGTCTTGAACTCCTGTCCTCAGGTGATCCGCCTGCCTTGGCCCTCCAAAGTGCTGCTATTATAGACGTGAGCCACTACGCCCGGACAAGAAATAAAATATTGATATGTTTCACAACATGGAAGAACCTTGAAAAAAGTATGCTTAATGAAAGAAAACAGTTACACAAGACTACATATAGGCAAATCTCAATAGGCAAATGTATAGACAGAAAGTAGATTAGTAGTTGCCCAGGATTGAGGGAAGGAAAAAGAGAATACGGAGTGACTGCTAATGGGTACAGATTTCTTTTGGGAGTGATGAAAATGTTCTACACTTAGATTGTGGTGATAATTGTGCAACTCTGTGAATACACTAAAAACTATTTAGTTATACACTTTATTTTATAAAATGTGAGGTATATGACAATAAGGATTTTTTTTAAAAGCTATGCAACTAGTCATTAGGCTTGCAACTTTTGGAGTTTAGGACTTCAGCTTTCAAGTAAAGAATGGACTACTTTGGGCCTCCAAGGATATTTCTTAAAACTAAGCTTTTGATTTGATTAGATAAGATTGTGATTACCGACAACAATTCCAGGTATAGATTATGTGTGCTATCAGTTAAGGGCAAAATTTTAAGTTAGTTAACTGGTTAGTTCCTGTGTCTAGCCAGATGTGGTATATGTATTTCATGTATTGTCCATGGGAACTGTTTTATTCTCAGGCAAGTAGATTGCCCTCTGCTCTGGAATATATTTCCAGGTCAGTTGCCCCCACCATCAATTAGTGTGTGTGCTCAAAAGAATGCAAACTGATTTCAGCATTATCTTAAACAAAACATAATTAGGAAGGTAAGTATCCTGCCAAAAAATTACATAATGCATTCCAAAGCCAATTTAAAATGAATTTTGGACCAACCATTCTGAATATATGAATTCAGCATATGTTTAAATGGTTAATAGTCATGCATACTGATGTAGAGTATAACTTATCTTTTTTAACTTAAACCTTTCTTTTAGGATTCAGTAAATTACTAGCTCAAGTTTCACAGGAAAAATATTAACAAGCTAAAGTCTGAAACATTTGCCTCACTATACAATGTTTGTCCACTGCCTCTAAGGCCTTACACTCTGAAATGTTTGAGAACCTCACTATTTAAAGTTTGTCTACAGCCTGCGGATCACTTGAGAGACCCGCCCCCAAACTACTAAAACACAAATCAGAATCTGCGTTTTAAAAAGATCCTTGGGCATCTGTGTGCACATTAAAGTTTGAGAGGCCTTGCTCTCACACCAGACTGAAGCTCAATGCAGGGCAGCCTCAGGAAAAGTGGGCAGTGGGGTCATCATTAGCTATATTAAGATGTGCATAAGAACAGATTGTAGCAATCTCAAAATGTCCCTATTTGATTCAAAGTGGTAAAAGCTGTAAAATTTCTATTTGTGTAAATATACATGAAAGTTGGAAAGGGAGGCTGTGGTAACTGTTCCTTTTGCTTAAATGTCCTGGGTGTTGCAGCGGAGAGGAGCTTGTTCCTAAGGAAAGCTTTTTCGTTTTTCCAGTTGTCCCAGTTCTACCTCCTGGCTTTGCCCATTCAGCCCCATCACTACATCTCTGACTAAGTCCAGCCTGAGATAGTTGGGCTGCAAGCAGCAGATGGTTAAGGGTCATTGATGGCAGGAGGGTTCCAGGGAGAAAGATGGAAATCTCTTCCAAGTTCACCCCTCAGTCTGAAAAAGAGCAATCAGACTGAGAGGCAACTCTGTTTTCTTACTCCCCACTTAGACACAAAAGTATAGCCTTTGTATTCCTTAAAGAGCTCCAAATCTTCTAAGTATATATTTTTTGAATAAGTGGAAACGCATCTATTGCCCCTTCTACTTTTCTGTTTCCTGCAAAGGAAGTACATAATGCCAAGTAACTGGGAGGACCTCCCACATGGATCAGTGGTCTCCAGGCCATGTGTGTGGAGACTAGAAAGGACTCAAGAGAGGCTCCTGGAAAGTGATATTTCAAATACTGATTTTAAGGTTCTACCCTTAAGATTCTTTCTGTTTGTTTGGTAACCTGTTTTTCTTCAAGTAATATATTTTGTACAGCTTTTTATATTAAAATATATAATGATTATGCCTACAAAGTATTTCATTACGTCGAGTATATGAAGCGACTTTCCAAAGTCCATAGAAAATACTTACTATGAAAAAAACCATGCATAGATTTCAAAATTATTTTACACCAAAATAAACCTACCCTTAAGATTCTGATTCAGGAGGACTGGGTTTAGGCCCCAAGATCTATGCTTTAACTAGTGCCCCCAAGTGATTCTGATGTAGGCCATCCAGGTCCACACGAGTGAACAGTGATATAATTGGTTTGAGGACAGCAGTACCACCTTTGCAAATAAATCACTTATTCTAAAGCATCTATTTTGCTTTTTGAACTGATGTCAACTTCCTGATTGGTTTCCAAATGGCTTTGCAGTATTCACTCAGCATTTACCGAGCAATTATTGTTCACAGAGAACTGAACTACCTGAGGCTTGTGCTGTGTTTGGGCTGGGGATAGGGAGCGGAGAAGGATGTGATCACATTAAAGCTATTTCTCAACTTCCCAGAAAAATGACAAACGGACCATTTCAAGACTTGTGAAACAGGTTAATCAAAACATTACCTAACCAGTTACCATAATTTACTTACCTTTTTGGAGGCCCTGTGTACAAGAGGCACCAAGACTTTTTGGGTGGGAAGGTTGATTCTGTAAACAAACTGCCAGGGTTTAAATCATACTTTCTCCACTTATATGACTATAGAAAAGTTAGCACTTTGGGAGGCCGAGGTTGGCAGATCACTTGAGGCCAGGAGTTTGAGACCAGCGTGGCCAACATGGTGAAACCCTGTCTCTACAAAAAAAAAAAAAAAAGAAAGAAAGAAAACTAATTTAACTTTTCTGTAAAATGAGTATATTAACATCTCACTGAGTTGGTACAATAATTAAATGAAGCACTTACATGCCTAACTGATGCAGATGGCTCCAAGAATTTAAATAACATTTACCAAAGAGTCACCATATTTTTTAGGTTAAAGCCACAAAACCATTGTGAGTATACTAAAGAATGATTATAAAGGCCCACGGAAATTCTGAAAAGGCGTAATTAAACTTTATTTTTATTCAAGCGGTCCAGACGCATGATTTTAACAAGGGCGTTTATTTGCTTATTTTTTAAGGTTCCCTAACCCTTGGCTTCTTGGGGAGTTTGATGCCACACTCCTCCCCAAAGTCCCCCTTAAACTCCCAGGCTCAGTGGGGACATGGGGGCGCGCGGTTGAGGTCAGAAGCAGGACCATAGTCACCGGTGAGCCGCAGCTGCAGCCCAGCCCCGGGGGAGGGAGGAGGGGCCGAGGGGGACTTGGGTGCCGCAGTTCCGCGGGCCACCGCCCCCGTCGGCCGCGCAGCTGGGAGGATGCGGACGGCAGCGAGAGCGTGCGCGGCCACGTGACGGCCGCTATAAGAGCGCACGGGGCAGACGCTCGGCTCCCGCGGTGCCTCCTCGCTGGCCGCGCTCCTTCCCGGTGCCGGCTTCTCTGAGCCACCAACCTGCGGCTGCCCCGGCCGCCTGCGCCCCCGGCAGCACCATGACAGGTACCGCCGCGCAGCGCGCCGCCGCCAGCCCCGGGACCCCGGCTCCCCGCCCAGCCGCCGCCTCCCTTCTCCTCCTCCGCCCTCAGCCCCGGGGTGTTCCCGGCTGGACGAGACCGCCGCAAAGTTGCTGGCTGGCTGCAGCCGAGCGTGCTTCTGCCTGCGTCAGCGGCCGCCCCGCCGCCCACAGGAGTGCAGCGATGGGGGCAGCCGGGCAGAGCCCGGGCCCTCGGCCGAAGCCCTCGTTCCTGCTTCCGTCTCCTAGCCCTTCCTCCTGCTCTCAACAGCAAAGGGCCGGCAGGCAGAGCAGCTGAGGCGGGGCGGTGTGGGGGTGGGGAGCCGGTTCGCCTGGGGGCTCCAGGCGGGAGTCCCGGGGCGCAGCGGCATCGTGGGGAGCCACCCTGGCCTCTGGCGGCTCGGAACCCCGGGAAGCGGGGGCCTCAAGGCGGGAATACCGCGGCCTCCGCCCGGCTCCTCCGCCGCCCGCCCCGGCCCCGGCCCCGGCCCCGACAGCCACGCCGAGCCTATTTTTAGGCCTTTGGGGCCGGGTTGCGGGAAGCCGGGAGTTGGAATAGCGTCCCCGGGTGCGGGCCCCGTCAGGTGGGAGGGCGCAAGCTTTGGCTTCACTTGTTGCGAGGCGTCCGGGCCACTCCACGAATCAGCCCCAGCACTGGGAAGCTCCGAGTTAGCTGGTCCTTCCGTGTCATTGACGCTAAATAGCCAGGGTTATTACAGCAATTGAACTGCCGCAAAGATTGCAGGTGTAACCCAGAGTTCAGCCGTCTTTAGGAAGATTAAACTCCTACCCAGCTGTCATTGGTCTTTCTTTGTCATTTGTAATGTTGGCTAGTCTGGTGTTCTAACCTGTGTGCTAAGCATTTGTTCTGTCCCTTATTTAATCTTGGAAATCATCCATATCCTTGCTTCCTAAAATCCTTGAATCTTGCTCTCCTTATTACATTTTTCTCCATGATCTCCTGGAACCTGGACTTCCTCTGAATTAAATTATCATTCATTTTCCCCAGTTTAAGTATCTTTGGTGCAGACTGACTGCAGTGTTACCCATCATAAGATATTATAATGGGCTGAAGATAATAGAAGCAAGTACAGGCAGATGTTGATGGGCCTGTCAAGGGACAGGTGTCACCATTGTTCAGAGCTTTCCTAGAGTGTGAATGGCTGGGAAGCCAGTGGCTCTCCGTGGGTTGGGGAACTCGTCTTCCTACAACTTAGTGGTTGGCCTGGCCTGGTTGAGGGCCCAATAAAATGCGTGAAGGTGGCCGTCAAGTCAGCAGCCGAGGGATGCGTTGGCCCACTAGGCAACCCACAACTTCCTCTCACTTCTCAGTGGAATTTCCACCGTTTCTAGCCTCCACCTTGGAAAATGGGCAAGGGAGAATGAGGAAATCCAGAACAGAAAGAGAAGGACTTCATGACAAAATGTCCCAACTCCTGATAGACAAATGACTCCTACCAGAGCTTGATCTGAAGTGTCCTAGACATTTGCGTGCCCACCAATTTGCTAATATTTCTTGGAGACAGAACGTGGCCCAGAATTGTCCCAGGGAATGACAAGAATCTTGAAGCTTGTCCTAAAGGTCTTAGGAGGGTAGGGACTGTTCAGTAAGAAGAAAAATCCACGTGGCAACTAAGTGATGATTGGAGATTGGAATGTGTGTCTGTTGGGTGGAGGCGGGAAGGGAAAGGATGCAGGATGGACCTGCACCTTCTTTCTTCTTCAAAGAAAAGCAGGCAGGTTGGTTAGGAATTCTTAGGTGATCTCCAAATCTATCAGTGATGATCACTATTTAGATAGAAGCATCAGGGAGGGAAGACCTCTCTGAGGTGCTAATATTTGAGGAGAGAGTCAATGTGATTCTTCAGGGATACTGGGGCAGGGGAGCTTTTGCTCCAGGTTGTGGAAACAGTTATATATAAGATGCCTGAAGTCCGGGGCTGCAGTGAGCTATGATCACACCACTGCACTCCAGCCTGGGTGACAGAGTGAGACCCTGTCTCAAAAAATAAATGAATAAATAAATAAATAAATGCCTGAGGCATGGCATAAACATAGCACCAGAATGAAGAATGTACACTCTGCTTTCAGACTGTCTGAATTGAATTTGACAGTTGGTTTTGTGCTTGGCTGAAAACACTGCCTACAGTACCTTGTAGAAGAAACAGAAAATGCATGACTTGATCTCTTCATTACCATCTGTTAATTGCCTGGAGTTCAAACTCTGGGTATTAACCTATTGTTTTGTCTGAGAATTTAGCATGTCAGGACTCTAAATTGGACTTAATTTCAATAGCTTAATCAACCTCTTGAAGGTTGCCATATGTGCCTGCTATGATCTTGAACCATTTCTGAAGTGGGTACTTAGGGTTTTCTCCCCAAAGAGGCTACTGCTTTATTCGGAGAGAAAGTTGATGATAGACGAACTGGTTTTGCTAAATTACTGTTTGGATGGGTTCCTGGGGAAAAGGCTTTCTCCAGATAATATATTGTAATGAGTGTTTTTCTTTCTTTGTATTAAGATCAGGCCTTTGTGACACTGACCACAAACGATGCCTACGCCAAAGGTGCCCTAGTCTTGGGCTCATCTCTGAAACAGCACAGGACCACCAGGAAGCTGGTCGTGCTTGCCACCCCACAGGTCTCAGACTCCATGAGGTGAGGACCTTGCTGCCCAGCCACCATCCGCAGGGGCTCTGACATCCTTCTCCCTGGTTCTGGCACCACTGGACATTGAGGCAGTGCTCTTTTCAGGAGTTGAGCACCTGGTAGAGAAAAATGAGAGATGCTGAGTGAAGGACTTGTGGATTTGAAACCTCTTCCTAGCTTTTGGGCGATACTCCATCTAAATACTTTTCTGGAAGGTGGTGTGCTGGCCCACACTTTCTGATTCCACCTAGGAGCAGAAGGAGTCATCTTCCTTCATTCCATTCTCCCTGGGTGATCTGAAGGACTGTGCCAGGCATTCCTTGCTTATATGCACCTTTATGCAGTCACAATTCATGGGCATTCCTTTCCCCAGATGCAGCAGGGGCCGCATGTTTCATGTTGCAAACTAGGTAACTCTCAGGTGACTTAGAAAAGTAGCTATTTTCTCCATTGCCGGTTGACATTTGTAAGCTAAAGATCTTTATTTACAATATAATATACTAGAATCTTTACCAAAGGGCTTTCTGAACTAGGTTTTACTAGGGGAACCACACTAAAGGATATAAACTGCTTCATGATTGGTTAGTTCATTTTGATCTGATGGAATTAAAGTTTGAAGCATCTGGCTGGGCGTAGTGGCTCACAAGTGGGCAACAGAGCAAGACTCAGTCTCAAAAAAAAAAGAGAAAAAAATGGAAGTATCTGAATGAGCTACCTAGTCCCTAGTACTAACTTTAAAAATATCTGGACACACTAGCAGCTTTGTGATGTGTTTATTTTTGTGGTCTTCTTGCCCTCTAAGAAATTGAAAATGCCCCTTTTGTGACTCTTTTTTTTTTTTTTTTCCCAAAAAATATAAGCACAGGCCAAGGGTCTCTAAAAAGTAGGTATTATATATGCATACATGTATCTTTCACACTAACAGCCTTGTTCCTAAATGGTAATTTAGGAAGATGCCAAAAAGGCTGTCTCCTAATGTGTGAACCCTGATTTGTAGTCTATTAGGATATGTCTAAAAAACCAGATCTAGTCTTGCATTTTGCATTTCTCATCACCACCATCAATTTACTTGGGTCAACGATGCTCCCATTTGTTTTTCCTCAAAAACATCAAGTTTACTATGTGAACTGGAACATACTTTTGTACAGCTTTGGAGACAGAATACAATATCAGTTTTGTTCCGCATCTTTGATGTTATGCTAAACTTTTAATGATGATACGTTTTCATCCTGTGTTTTTTCTTGTGCTCCATTTAGTGTCTTACCCAAGTCTACCTACTAATCCACCTTCAAGAACTTTCTAAAATAAAGCCTTACTTAATTGGTGCATAGAGAAGTGTTGTACCTCACAAACCAAAGTGAATGTCTCATTATACTTAAACAGAGTGCTCAGCATATAATAAATGCTGGCTATATTGGATTCTATAAAATGGAAACCTAATAAATGTAGCCCTTTACACATTTTTGCGAACTCTTGCCACAACCTGCCTGCTATTCAGTGATACAGTAAAAAACAATTGCTTCTATAATAATGTTTTAAGAAAAGCATTTCATCCTCACCATAAGCAGTTCTTACTACTTTAGTGAAGTTAACTGGACATGCAAATAAACACAATTTGTCCTGGAATAAAATTAGAATAGATTTAAGGGTATGTATTCTACCAAAGCAATACATTCTTCTAGTAATCGATGGAGAGGGTACTAAAGCATCAGTCTTAACACTAGACAGGTCACTTTCTCTGAAAAGATGCTAAGTGCCCTTTTCTGGATTTTATTTTGACAGAAAAGTTTTAGAGACAGTCTTTGATGAAGTCATCGTGGTAGATGTCTTGGACAGTGGCGATTCTGCTCATCTAACCTTAATGAAGAGGCCAGAGTTGGGTGTCACGCTGACAAAGCTCCACTGCTGGTCACTTACACAGTATTCAAAATGTGTATTCATGGATGCAGATACTCTGGTGAGTGTGGCTTTGAGGGTAGAGAAGCCATATATGGTAATGGAGACCTGTTAGGCATTTGAGGAATGCTGTCAAGACTTGACAGTAAAGTTCAGATAGAACCACTGTCATGAAATGTGTCAGGGGAAGGAGGAGAGGAGGCCCAGGCTGCCTTACAGCTGTCATCATCTTTTGTGTTGAATGACATAGGGAGAACTTAGGGGTATGCTCAGCAAAAACATTTCTCTAATGCTCTGTCTCCCCTTTGATCAGGTCCTAGCAAATATTGACGATCTTTTTGAGAGAGAAGAATTGTCAGCAGCACCAGACCCAGGGTGGCCTGACTGCTTTAATTCTGGAGTTTTCGTTTATCAGCCTTCAGTTGAAACATATAATCAGCTGTTGCATCTTGCTTCTGAGCAAGGTAGTTTTGATGGTATGTATCTGCTGTCTTCGTATCTGAAAAGCTGCTAATAATTACTAATTTCCAGGGGCTGTTCTTCTCAGGAATATAATTGCTGTGGTTTCTTCTGCCTGGAAGATACAAGAGGTAGCACAAGCATTTTAAGTTGTGCCCTTTTGGGAAATTGTGTATGTATATGTGTACATGCATCTTTTTCTATGGATGCATACGATCAACCTAAACTATGATAGGCAATTTTACAGGATTGCCTTTCATTTGTCTTCCTGATCAAATTTGGGGTATGATAAATATACTATGATTATTCAAAACTTCAAAAGACTGAAAAACTTTAACATCTATCTTTAAACCTAAGTAAACTTAAGCTCAAGAGAGTTTGACAGCCATTCCAGGAGGATCAAGCATTGTCACTATGGAAACTTGAGGAATAAACCTGATAATTTGGGTCTCATTCTCTCAGGCAACATAAAAATGAAGATAGAAAGTTTATGTGAATAATCTTTGCTTCCAAACTCTCATTCTCTATAAGGCTGTGTGCCAGAGTGGTATCTGCAAGGCCAAAAAGTAGAACATTGACAAAGTCAGCATCCATTTTATTTAACATATAAATGTATTTGTAGTTATATTTATATAATGGTTCTGTCTATGATATAGGGCCTCACATCTTTTGGAGAAGTTGATCAAATGAAATGCTTTTGTTTTAGGCCAGTTGCTGAAATAGTAACAAGCCATGTTTTTAAAAACAAAAACACACAGGACAAAACCAGTAGTTAATATGCAAAAGGAGTTCTTTGAAGAATTATTTTTGATGATTGTTTTGAATAAAGACTCAGAATAGAGAAGAAGGAGGACATTCTCTAAGAAGCCCTCCCAGTAGTGACTTACTATCAGATGTGGACATTGTGGCAGAGCACAGTGCTGTGTGCTATTCACATGGGTATGGGCAGGAGGCCTGAGCTCTGCTGGAGACACAGCGGGGGCTTCTTTCTTCCTCTCCCCTTTCCAAGAGTAGATCTGAGATTTGCAGGAAGTAGATCTTTTGGAAATAGCAGAAACAGATTTTCTCATTTGACAAAAGATTCAGTCCTGGGTGCAGATATGAGGATTCATTTTCATTGACCAGTTAGAAAGTTAAAAATCAAAATGCTAAACTTTAAAAATGAAAACATTAGACCTATACGTTTGTTAGCTTGCTGAGGTGAAGCTATTAGAAGTTAAAACATTTCAAATTATACATAAAACTGAGATTGGGTCTTCATTATTGCTATTCACAGAAATTGAATTCTTTTTAGTTATTTGGCTGAGGATTTGGGAATTGTGGCTATTTGAAATGTCATTGAAAATAATAAGGAAATAAATCTCGGTTTTGTTTTACTATTTAGCTTGTTTATACTCTAAGCTAGTAGTTCTCAAACAAGGGCGATTTTGTCCCCCAAAGTACGTTTGGCAATGTCTGGAGACATTTTTGGTTGTTATAACTGAAGAGGGAGGAGGGTGCAATGGGCATCTGGTGAATAGAGGCTGGGGCTGCTAAACATCCCACAATGCACAAGACGATCTCCTACAACAAAGAATTATCCAGCCCAGCATGTCAGTAGTGCTGAGGCTGCGAAACTCTGCTCTCTACATGCTCAGAAACAGAGCAGGAGTATTTGTACCATAATGTATGGCAGCATCTAACAAGAAGTGAAGTCTTGTTTTAAGGAGCCTTAACATAAGAAAATAATAATGTGTTAAATGTTCACCATGGTCCAGGCCAAGTGAAACTTCTTCGCTTCACTGACATATTTTTAGCTCCTGCTATTTTCCCCTCATAGAAGGAATGAAAGCTTTATTAGTATTTAAGTTCAAAACATATATTCCTTATTTCTACTGCTTATACTGAAAATTGCCTTTGCATAAAAGGAAGAAGAGAGTGTTTTTAGCAGAAGTCCATTGTTTGTCTTAACCTTCCAGTGTAGCTTTCTTTACCTCCTCTCCTAATTTGAAGGAAGTAAGTGTAATCCTGCCAGAAATTCAGTGTAACTCTTCTCAGCTTCAGTAAGTGAATCACATTCTAAAGTACATCTTGTGGCTTGCCAACTGCCTGAAATCCACATGATTTTAATCATGTGAAGAGAATCCAATTTCTAACCTAGAAAACTGTTAGATATTGAGAGGTAAGACTTTGGATACCAAACAGTAGTGTGCCATGAAAATTATCTAGGTTATAATTTGAGAATATGAAACTCATTAATTAACCTATTTATTGTTAAAAGAAGCTTGGATGTGTGCAAAGTGCTCGACTAGGAAGAACTTCCTGCTTTTTCAGCCAGAATCTGAAACCACTGTGAGATTCTGGCTGTGCCTCTAGCACATTTCATTATTCAGCAGCAGGTTTCCAGGTGCTGGCCGTCCTCTGAGGTATTCCATTTACTGGCTCATTGGTGGTGAAAGACTGAATTTTCTGTTAATAGAAATTGAAGGAGTTAAAAAGTCAACTGTGCAGCTGAGAACTTATAATTAGTTCTCAATATGTTGTTTAAATTCAGCAGAAAAATAAGTTAGCAGTTCTGAAATCAAAGGTTGTTTTCACTTGAAATATGTGTTAAGCTTTACTTGGCAAAGAAAGCTCGCTCTGTACCTCAGGAGGCTGCTTCTCTCTGGAGGGGTTTGCTATCCACTTGAATCAATGTGTGAACATCTGACATAAAGACATGTTGAACTTATGCTTGATAGCAATAAAATAGTTCTTTATGAACAGTGACTTTGTCTAATGGCAGTAACCTTTGCCTCTTGTTTTCAATATGTTGTATAAAAATTATAAATATAGTAAAAGTAAATCTTAAAAATTAAGAATTGTATAAAAAATAATTTTGGTTAGACGTCATGCCATAGGCACTGATGAACATTTTCCGTGTTTCTTTCACAGTTACCTACAGTTTCTCACAACTATAGTTTCTCGCTGCACAACCCCCCAGTCCGTTTTAAGTCCCAGAATTTTCAGATCAGACCAGTTTTGTAGACTGACTGTATCTCAGTGTGAATATCTTACAAGTCCTGCTTTTAACCACTTTCCTGTGTTCAGCAGAAAACTGCTGGGGCCTGGTGTCCACTGACAAGCACACAGGCTGTTGATGGCTGAGCATTTGCAGCTGCTTTTGCAACTCTTCTCATGCAAAAGAATGTGGCTGTCATTCTTCTAATCACCAGCCCTGTACTCATAGCCCCTCCATCTCTCTGCTCTGTGACTCTGGCCAAGAAAATAATCCTAATATGGCACACTATACTAGGTAGGTTGACTTCTCTTTCTTCCCAAAATTTTAGAATGTTAGAATTTAGAACTAGTGACTACATACCTAATTCATGGCTGGTGTCTAATTTTCCATAACGAAGAGTCAAGCTTCTATACTGTTATATTTTTAAACTGTCTTGGCACCTATTTCATCACTATAATTACATGTTTCATGAAAAGTTGAACAATAGCTGTTGTGAAATAGTTTTACACTAGTATAGGATGTGACAAGATAGGGTTAGCTTTAGGGCATGTTAGCAGGAAGAGGGGAAGAGAGAGGTCATAATACTGTAGGTTCTAATCAGCAGTTTTGCTTCTGCCACGTCTCTGAAATGAGGCTGATGAACTTGACTTTTAGTTTGAAGAAATCAACCTGAATGCAAGTCGAGGTTTACTTTTCTCCCTATCTTAAGAGCATGTGTAGTTGAAGAGTTAAGTGCTTAAACATTGTTGTCTGTTTCATCTGTACATGTTAGTTTCAAAAACCTAAGTCAGAGGAATTCATATTTTCTAATTTAAAATATCCTTAAAAAACATCTTGTACTCATTTTGATTACTGCAGTGTAAATATTCTAAACTTTTGATTGGTGTACTGGAATTTTGGTCTTCAGTGGAATTTCTAGAAAGAAGAGAAAATAGGAAAGAATAAATTAGTGGCAGAATATTAGGTATGGTTTTATTTAAGTAGAATCTGGGATCTGCTTTGAGGTCACTGTATTTGTGTGTTCCAAATTCTAGGTGGTCATTGAGTCCCATAAGCAGAATACAGTAACGTTTATTAATAATGTTTAACAGAAATTATTTGGTGCTACATTCTATTAAAGTGTAAAATTGACCCCAGAGCTACCTTTTAAAATCTTTGTAGTTAATTAGGCTTCATGTTGGACCTGCCCAAAAAAGAATGAAGGACTGAGACATTTCAAGATAGTACTTGTCTTATCCAAACCCAATGAGTTCAGAAATTTTGGTGTGCTTCACTTGGTTCCCTGACTTGATAGGTCGGCCTGGGTAGTTATCTTTCCATGGTGACTTCCCCCAGCTCCCCCAGGCACTAGGCTGCTTGTTCTCCTCAGTAATTTATCAGTTGTTTTGGAAATGACTCTGTTCTCTTGCATTTATGTCATTTTGTCAATAGTTTAGATAATAAGTATCTTGAGGAAAAGCAAAAGCCATAACGTAATGGCAAAATTAATGAGCACACTTAAATTTTGTTCTTAAGAGCTATTTTTATCTCATTCTACCTGTGGATATTTTTTTTTAACTTAGCCATCTGTCTCCAGCTTTGTAACTATCAGAGATCATGAACACTGTGAGAAATGGAAGAAGAAGAAGGGACTAATGTGTTATGTGTGTGCATGGTTATTTTCCTACTTTTTCACTTATTTCTCAACAGTCCTGTAAGGTAGGCATTCATGCATCCAGTCATATAACAAATATTCATTGAGAGCCTGCAATGTAGCTAGCACTGGGGACTGCCATTGTTGTAGTTCAGGACAGCAGCTTGCCTGGCGCCCCTGAGCTAAGGCAGTCAGGTCTGAACCAGGGTCCTTCTTAACTCTGGTTGGATTATGTGTTCGAGTGGGGTGGCGGTGGTGGTGGTTTTTTCCATTCCCAATTGTCTCATATGGCAGCATTCTTGAGTATGTAGCTTTAGAATGATAGAGGATGGAGGAAAATCCCTATTACCTTGGCTTTATGACAGATTAATTAAGTCGTTTCTTTGAGTAGACAGAGCAGCTGGTATGTTCCTCATTTTACAAATGAAGGAATGGAGGCTCAATTTTTCTATCTCTATTGCTACTATTCCTCCCATCTGATCCAGAATACCTAAAAATACATTGTCATTTAAAATCAGCAGCACAGTTCATAGTCATACATTGTTTTATGAGTCTGGAAGTATTCTTGGAAGTGTTACTCTCACCTGTATTTCTGTAGTAGGTCCATTCAGTTTTTCAAACATCATTTCCATTTTTAATCTGGGCAAAATCCTAAGTTTAAGGGCCAAAAAGAGACTGGTAAAATAATGCAGATTTTATTCCTGCCTCTATAAAGTTTATATTGTGAGACCTTACAGACGTTTAACAACTAATACACAGTTATGTAATCATGATTCTAGTAAGTTCAGAGTACTGAGTCCAGACTAGAAGGACCTGCCCTAGACTGAGAAACTGAAATTTAAGCCAAGAATAAATGTTTCCTTGCACGTATGTAATAATTAATAGCTTGATATTTAAAATATTAAAAACAATGAAAAACAAAAGCTATAACATGAAATAGTAAAACAAATCAGTTGTTCCTGTCTTAAATGGTTGAGGCCAGTGAGATAGAGTGATGCTGGGGCCCAAGCTCCAAGTGCCTGGATTTCCATAAGCCACCATGGGTTAATTAAATGATCCTCAGTAAATCTCATAAAAATATCCCCAAGAGCTGTGCTTTCATAAGCTGTAATTTATTAATCCTTAGCATGCTCACTATAGGCAGTAATGATTATATCTGCCAAGCATTTTATAGGAAGTATACAAAGAAGTGGCCTGGCACAGTGGCTCACTCCTATAATCCCAACACTTTGGGATACCGAGGCAGGTGGATCACTTGAGGTCAGGAGTTCCAGACCAGCCTGGCCAACATGGTGAAACCCCTTCTCTATTAAAAATGCAAAAATTAGCTGGGTGTGGTGGCACATGCCTGAGGTCTCAACTAGCTGGGAGGCTGAGGTAGGGGAATCACTTGAACCCTGGAGGCAGAGGTTGCAGTGAGCTGAGGTCATACCACTGTGCTCCTGCCTGGGTGACAGAGTGAGACTCTGTCTAAAACAATAAATAAATAGAAGTAAGTCATGTGTTTGTGTCAGTCCTTGTCTCTAGCTCAAATATAATATAAAGCATACTTTGAGGGTTTTGTTGTTATGGAGTTTTGCACTTGTTGCCTAGGCTGGAGTGCAATGGTGTGATCTTGGCTCCCTGCAACCTCCACCTCCTAGGTTCAAGTGATTCTCTTGCCTCATCCTCCCAAGTAGCTGGGATTACAGGCACCCACCACCATGCCCAGCTAATTTTTGTATTTTTAGTAGAGACTGGGTTTCACCATGTTGGCCAGGCTGGTCTTGAACCCCTGGCCTCAGGTGATCCACCCACCTCAGCCTCACAAAGTGCTGGGATTACAGGTGTGAGCCACCACACCTGGTCTTTTACTTTAAATTATTTACTTTATCTGTCCATCTGTCCTTTTTTGGGTTTTGAAGCATTTGAGAGTTGGAACCCATCTTAATCTTCCTATTATGTGAATACCAAATTTATATAATGTTAGCCATTTTTTATAGAAATTACATTTTTAAGAGTTGTTATTATCCTTTGTATAAAGAAGTCATTCTTAAAAGACTCCAGTGAGTCTCAAATTTTAATATGCAAACAAATACCCCAGGGATTAAAATGTGGATTCTGATGCTGTAGGTCATGGGTCAGTATTTCTTTTAAGCTCCCAGGTGATGCCGGGGCTGCTGGTACCTGGACCACAGTTTGAGTAGCATTATCATAGGGGGACCATTCTGGCTGAGATGCTGGGGTTCATGTATAAACCAGAATTAAGTCACTGCCCTGTTATCCACAGTAGACAGGCCAGCTGCCAGCAAACTATGGGAGAGCACGCAAAGTACACAAGCATTGAACAAATGCACGGGTTTCAAAGATACCACTTAACTCTGTTTCTGTCTTAGGAAACAAACAGGTCCAGTTTCTGATCAATACTGTGGTGTCTCCATGGTTACAAGGTATGTGACCCGCTCAAAAGACCTAGAAACCACCAAGTTTGTAGTTGCAAGGTGATTATGTAGCATTTGGGCAGCTGGGTGGAAGGATGATCCAGAATGAGATACTGGCTTTTGTTCCTTGTTCCATTTCCTTTCTCCCTCTCTCTCACCTGTGTTACCACACCCTGGCGTACCGGATCACAGCTGCTGGTGATGCCTGCTAATCATGTTTGTTGATTCTGAGATGAGTGAGATTAAAAGTATCTTAACCTGTCAGATTAAATAAAGCTGCCTCTGGAAGTCTAAAATGTATTGGACAAACATACTAGGGTTTTGTTGTGGAAGTTCAGCAGTCTTTAGGGTATCCTTGTATGTTTTGTCACACAGACGTGCCTAGATTTGCACTCTGCTTTGAACTGTCCTCTCATTTAAAGATTTTTTTTCTAAAGAGAGGGTATTGATAACACCATACATAGATTTTTCTGATGAAGTTAAAACATTTGCCTGACCTTGAAATGTTGAACTGTGCATTTAGGAAAAGGTGGTTATGATTTCCAGACCACTGAATTTAAAAATTTAGCTATGGACTTCTAGATGGCATTTAATTTATTTTTAACCTACAATTTTGGACTAAATGGTAACCCTTTGTCATCACACGAGGTCAGTAGCTATGGGAGTTTTACGACCTGTGTTGTCCCCTCTGGAGCCAAGGTTCTTGTTGAGTGTTTCAGGGTTTGCCAATTTAACAGGCATGATTGGTTCACCAGTTCTGCTTCAGTGCTGCTTCTCCTCCTTGCTTGTTTTCTGTACAGCAAGTGCTTCCCAGCCTCCCTGTGGCACACAGCTGATGGGCTGATGATGTTTGTAGGGTACCTGAGGGTAAACAGAAACGGCCTTTCGTGGCCAAAGGCAGGCAGCCAGGGACTTTGAGGGATCAGCAGCTCTGACTCCTGTTTCCCAGGCTCACGCAGGTCAGATTTGGAAGTTCTACTTTACAACTACTATTTAGGCCTCCATGGAATGAGATTTCTTTACTGCATTATGGGTAGCTGTTAGTCATTTTAAGTGGAACTGCTTAAGTTAAAGAGGGTCTTATAATGTCCAAGTTCTCAAATTGGATAAATCTGGAGAGTTTTATTATTAATATCCTTTATAACCTACACATATATTTTTCTTTTGGTGTATCATACTTCATGATAAAAATTAAAAATGAAGAATATTTAGAAAGAAAAGATGTAAGCACAGTTCTCATTCTTGCCCCCAGGTGTATTACTAATATTTAGAATAACAAAAACAATATATTAGGAAAAAGGGGGGGAAGGACATCTGTTACACCAATCGCCTAATGTAATTACTGTTGTTTTATTTACTTTCTAGTAATATAAATGTTTATTAATGTTTATGCTCTTAGTTATAATCACAATGTAAGTAGCTATATATCTTTATATGAACAGTGTATGGATGTGGTTTTTATAGACATTAGTTTTAATTGCTGAATAATATTTCATGAATAGTTAGTATTACAGTATACTAACTATTCCTGTATGTTAGAATATGTAAGTCATTTACATTTTTCTGCTGTTACAGAGCATCTTCAAGATTCTTGCATTCATTCCATAAATAATTGCCTATGTGTAAGGCATTCTGCTACATGTTAGCATCATCATAATAAGGGAAAAGCCATAATCCCAGTTCCTGTGGAATTTAGCATCTAATAACCAGATTGTATTTTGCACATTAATTGTAAGAGTTTTTTAAAAACCTGTTCATTTTGAGGGAACTGTAGATTTCTATGCAGCTGTAAGAAATAATACAGAAAGATCCCATATAAGCTTCATCTGTTTTCCCCAATGGTAATATCTTAAATAATTAAAATGTATCACCTCAACCAGGAGATTGACATTGGAACAATCCACCAATCTTACTCAGATTTGACCAGTTTTATATGTATTCCCCTTTCTGTGTGTAGATGTGTGTATGCACTTTTGGTTTTCATGTAGCTTTATCACACATGTAGATTGGTGTGACCACCACCATAGTCAAGATGCAGAATAGTACTATCACATGGATCCTTCATATTCTTTCACAACCACAGCTGCACCTCTCATTCTTTCCCTCTCCCCTGGCAGCCATTAATTTGCTTCCAATCTCTATAATTTTATTATTTGATGTTACATAAATGAAATTACATAGTGTGTAACTTTGTGAGGTTGGAGTTTTTCACTTAGCGTAATTACTTTGAGATTCATCCAGGTGGTTTTGTATGTGTGTCTAGTTTGTTTTGTCTTGTAGCTGAGTAATAGTTTACATGGATGTACCACATCCATACACCTGTTGAATGACATTTGAGCTGTTTTCAGTTTGTACGATTATGAATAATGGTGCTATGAACATTTCCTTAGCCCTTTTTTCTGTTCCCATGCAACTGATTGGCAGTATTTTGATGATTATATGTAAAAGGAAATTAGTTAAGACTTCAGGCCTCTGTATCTCAGCCACTAGTGTCTAGTCCCACATTTGGGGTTTCTTTGTAGAATCAAAAATGATCCTTTGATGAATGGCATGATGTTTTGGCTTTGATAGTTTGTGTCTCAAAATACATTGATTTAGCCATATAGCTAAAATTGTCTTTTGTTCTCATGTCTGTCTATTGTCTTAGTCTATTCAGGCTGCTGTAATAAAATACCATAGATTAAATGGCTTATAAACAACAGAAATATATTTCTCAAAGTTCTAGAGGCTGGAAATTCCAAGATTAAGGTGCCAGCAGATTCAGTATCTGGAGAGGGCCTATTTCCTGGATCATAGGCAGCTTTTTTATTTCTGTCTTTTTGTTATAACTGCTGCATGTGGTGGGAGAGGTAAAGGACCTCTCTTGGGCCTCTATTTTAAGAGCACAAATCCTATGCATGAGGCCAGAGCCCTCATGACCTAATCAGCTTCAAAGGCCCCACTCCAGATACCATCAACTTTGGGGTTAGGATTTCAGTGTAGGAATTTGGGGGTATCTAAACATTCAGTCCATTGCATTTTTGTAACAGTGAAGCATATTCTGTTGCCATCTTTATTGTCCTTTACCACTTAGAAGAGTGAGACTGATTTTCTGTTGTTCATCCCTTGAGGGATGGAGACCTGTCAGGGGTGTTGTTTAGGGAGGGGTTTCCTCATAGACAATAAGTGAGTGCCTTTGGTTCTTAGAGTTGATTGAAGGTACTTGGAAGCAATAGAATATGCAGAGGGTGGATAAGGTACACTTGGACTTTAAACCTAAAATCCTGACCTTACTGCCTAACTTCAAAAATTAAACAGGTCTCTAGATTTTTGAAATCTCCTTCAAAACTAAGGAAAACTGAATAGTAATGACAGCCAATGGACTTGCTGTATGTTGAGAAAGGAACTGGATTTTTCAGCAAAGCAGACTGAGGAGAGGAGTGACTATGCAGTATTCCTGCCTCACACTTAGAGCAGGTGTCTCCCTGCCTGCCATCCCCTACACACTCGCACATATGCACTCATGCACAGGCACACATATTGTGAGCACCTGTTCTGCTGCTTGGGAGATTCTGGTTCTGAGTGTGTTTTTTGAAATCTCATGAGTCTAAAATAGAAAGGAAATGAAATACATGGAAGAATGTCTTTTGAGGTGGCTTAGTGAACTGTTTGGCTACTTATGAGCTTATGATTTATGTCAGACACTTAGCTGTTTAGATTTTTATTGTTTTTATTTCTTTTGAATGAATGGCCATGATCCCCACTTTTGAAGAAAAATATGAAGTCCAGGAGCCCCAAGGGCTGAGCAGACACTTTGCTGTATCATTGTAGCTGATGTTGGCCACAGTTATGACTGACTGGGATCTGCCAGAGACTTTTGGTCAGTGTCAGGAGAGTGCACCACAGGGGGAATGTGGCCTTCTGGACCCTCTGTTGATGAGTCAGTAGTTGTGGGCCCTGGAAAACAATTCCATTGTTCCAGTTTGATCTTTTACTTTTTTGCTTCTTTTTGCCCCATTACACTCAGGGTAGAGTCTGAAATCTTTAGCTGGAAATAAAGAGTAAAATCTGATCCCTATGTGATCTGGTCCCTGCCGCCCTCTCTGAGATTCACCTGGTGGCTTGCAACTCATTCCTGCTAAGTCCACTTACACAGGCCACCTACCAGACCTTCTTTCCATAGCCTCATGCTCCTGCCCGCCAAAGGTCTGTGGTGTGCACTGTTTTTGTTCTGCCTGGAACGCTGTCTGCACTCTTTCCCCCATCTGCATTTGTCAGGTATGCCTGTGCACCCCTCAGATACTGGCTTAAACACAACTTCCTCGTGGAAGCCTTCCTTCACCCATCAAATGTAGCTCGAGCCCCTTCCACATATGCTCGTAGTGCCATGTAAATTTCCTTCACTGCATTCATCTCCCTCTGTGTGATGTTTGTTGACTCTTGATTTGCTGTTGTCAGTGTCTCCCACACAGTCCTTGTAAAGACAGTGACCACATCTCTTGTGCACTGTTGACTCTGCAATGCCTAGTACAGTATCTGGTACATAGTAGCTGCTCAGTAGATATTTGTTGAATTAATGAGTTACATCAGGAAAACGGCCACTCCTTAAAGTGTTTTTAATTGGTATGTCAAGGAACTTATTTAAGAATGGGAGGCCGGGCGCGGTGGCTCACGCCTGGAATCCCAGCACTTTGGGAGGCCGAGGCGGGTGGATCACCAGGTCAAGAGATCGAGACCATCCTGGTCACCATGGTGAAACCCTGTCTCTACTGAAAATACAAAAAAAATTAGCTGGGCATGGTGGCGCATGCCTGTAATCCCAGCTACTCGGGAGGCTAAGGCAGGAGAATTGCCTGAACCCAGGAGGCGGAGGTTGCGGTGAGCCGAGATTGCGCCATTGCACTCCAGCCTGGGTAACAAGAGCAAACCTCCGCCTCAAAAAAAAAAGAATGAGAACGGACTGGGTGTGGTGGCTCACACCTGTAATCCCAGCACTTTGGGAGGCTGAAGCAGGTGGATCATGAAGTCAGGAGTTCGAGACCACCCTGGCCAACACAGTAAAACCCAGTCTCTTCTAAAAATACAAAAAAAAAAAAAAAAAAGAATGGGGACCAGGTGTGGTGGCTCACGCTTGTAATCCCAGCACTTTGGGAGGCAGGCAGATTATTTGAGACCAGGAGTTCAAGACCAGCCTGGCCTCACAGTGAAATCCCATCTCTACTAAAAATACAAAAATTAGCTTGGTGTGGTGGCATGTGCCTGTAGTCCCAGCTACTTGGGATGCTCAGACAGGAAAATCACTCGAACCTGGGAGGCAGAGGTTGCAGCGAACTGAGAATGTGCCATTGCACTCCCGCCTGGGTGACAGAGCGGACTCCATCTCAAAAAATTAAAAACGGAATTAGTGTCTATTTTTAAAGGTCCAGCATGTGCTCCTTTAAAATTATTAAACTGCCCTTGAAATCTCTTAACTAATTTATATGTTTTTTTCTTTTAGGTGGGGACCAAGGCATACTGAACACGTTTTTTAGCAGCTGGGCAACAACAGATATCAGAAAACACCTGCCGTTTATTTATAACCTAAGCAGCATCTCTATATATTCCTACCTCCCAGCATTTAAAGTGTAAGTGCAAATGGTTTAACTGTTGTTGGAGATGTTGAGGGCAGAGAAGCGGGGCATAATATTTTGGGGCTGCCTTATTATCATTCTGAGGGAAATAACAGGTAGAGACTTTGAGGAAAGTTTCTCTTGTAAGAACCGTAGCTGCAAATGGGGAGAGGCCTTCATGTTATCAGTTGCCTCTTGCTTGACACTAGGATACTTGGCTGCCTTTGGTACAAGGTTCCCATCAGTTCCTGGGGCACGTGGCCTTCCGGTAAGTTATTCATATGTCATGGTCAAAAACAGACTCCTAAGCTCTGCAGACTTACAACTTGGAGGAGTTGAGTTTGTGCCCAAACTCAGCATCTTCCCCATACTAGTTGCTGAGCTTTGGTTTCTCTTGCCTGAAAAAAGGTGTTAAAATGTCCCTCATAGTCGTTGTAGAGATTAAGCCAGATACAGAGAGCAGTGTGTTGCTGCAGCTAAGAGTAAGGGCTCTGGAGCTGGATGATGTCAGCTCAGATCCCACAGTGACCATGTCCTGGGTGGTAACCTTGGCTTACTTACTGAACTTCTCTCTGCCTCAGTGTCTTCATAGGTTTATTATTGGTATTAAGGGAGGTAATCATGTAGCATGGTTAGAAGAGGGCCTGGTCTACCCAAGTGCTAAGTACATGTTAGATTGTTAGTCATTTTTGTTTGATAGGCAGTATAGCGCTCAGAGTAATTTCCTGAAGCAGAAAGGCAAGGAATATGTCCTCACTCTGTCATTTATCTGCTACATAACTTAAGACTTTGTGCCTCAGTTCCTCCATATGTATAATGAGGAGGAAAATAGTACCTACCTCATAGGGTTGTCAGGAGGATGAAGCAACTTAATAAACATAAAGTGCTTAGTGGACATTTGTTGTTTTAGGTAATGTTCTTATTTAGCCCTGTCCCTGGTGTAGTTTCATTTGTTTGTTTGTTTTGAGAGGAAGTCTTGCTCTGATGTCCAGGCTGGAGGGCAGTGGTGTGATCTTGGCTCACTGCAACCTCTGCTTCCAGGTTCAAGTGATTCTCCTGTGTCAGCCTCCCTAATAGCTGGGATTACAGGCACGCACCACTATGCATGGCTAATTTTTGTATTTTTAGTAGAGATGGGGTTTCACCACGTTGGCCAGGCTGGTCTTGAACTCCTGACCTCAGGTGATCGCCCACTTCACCCTCCCAAAGTGCTGGGATTACAGACTTGAGCCACTGCTCCCAGCTGCTGCTGCACTTCTGATAAACCTTACAGCTAATACATCCTTGTTGCACTGTTTATCTCACTGTTAGGTACAGGATCCTATTATTTAGCCTCTGACTCATTTGTGTTTAACTAAGAAGATGATTTAGATTTCTTGAACAGGGGCCTAGCTGTCAGGTTGATCCTGAGACAGTCATGAGCAGCAAAGCCCTTCACTGAGTTGGGCTTGTCTCTCCAATCTCTGTCCCATACGGACATTCCTGAGTTAGCGGAAAACAAAGGGACTTTCACTCCTCAAATTTCATTATCCAGAGTCCTCTCCATAAGTCTTGCACCACAGTAATGAGCATGCCTGGCTTTTTGTAGCAGCAGTGTTTCCTTTTCTGTTCTTTTCTGGGAAGACTCTGTCAACATCCCCCAGATAAGTATTAGAAGCAGCTCGTGTTCTTTCCTCCCTGACTGTTCTCTTGGCATATGTCTCCAACATCTTACATTCTCTCCCCTTTGTACAATAGAAACAAGCAGACTCTTAAACATTCCAACTGTTTTGAGTAAAGCAAACAACAGGATTTACTGTCAAGGGAGGAATAGGAGAGGCATTATCTCACCTCTCAGTCCTTGGTCTTGTAAAATACAAAACTGTCTCACATGGAAATGTGAACCTGATCCATTTTAATCCTTACTTTTATAACACTGCCAGTTTCAATAGTGTTTCTGCAAACCATGACAGTGTGATCCCTAGAGCTGAATTTGTCTATAATAGGGCATTTGCTTATAGTTTAATTGACTAAATTCAGTTTAGCAAGCAAAAAGATGAATGCAGAGGAGAAAGTGTTTTGAATAGTGTGACCATTTCACTCAGTCCTGCACAGTTAGCATGTGGTTCTGTTTGATTCCATCTGATTTCTACCCTGCCATTATTGAGCATGTTCCTTTCGAGGATAACCTGGTTTATGCAGCACTGCAGCACAAAACAAGGAGACAGAGCAGAGTTAAGTTGTAAGGAGTAAGACGGACTTAATTTGCTAGAACCGTGACTCTTTTCTCTCAAGAACCCAGTTGATTTTATATCCTCCAAATGAATTGTCCCCAGAAAACCAGTTTGAGATTTAAATTACTGAAATAGGATTATTTTCTTCTTCCTGGCTCAGTGAGTGAGTGCTGATTTTGGAAATCCCTTGAGTTTGTTATAACCATAGAGAATATGACACACTGGGAAAGTTGGGAGCAACTCTATCCATTAACCAGATTTCAGCTGGCCCATGGGCTGACAGGAGATGCTGCTGCTTCTGTGCAGCTGGTTCTTAAGTGGGGTCAGCTCTACATTTCTGTGATAAGGCTGCTCAGAGCCATGCTTTGTCTCACCCGTTGTTGCCTATTGAGGAATGTTAAAGCCAGATCAAATAACTCATTTTCCCTTCCCTCTGCCAGAAAAATATTTTTGCTTTTCCTGTGGAGACCCATCTCCAGAGACATTTTTCCTTACCTTTTTTTTTTTTTTTTTGGTGGTGGGGGGAAGGCTGAAAAGGCACAGGTAGTTACGTTTCTTTTTTTATTATAGGTTAATGTAAAATTGTGGTCCACATGTTTTTTAAATGAAAGTAACCCATTACAAGCATTTTGGTCATCATTGCTACTCTCCAGAGATTTCTGTGAATTTGAAGGCCCACCCTTGGGTTCAGAATAACCTTGGTGGTCTCTAGTACTAAGTATAACCCTACAGTATGCTGTCCTTTCCTAGGACAGCGTAGGTGGTGGCAGGTGGAATTGGAGATTATGGAGTGGTCTGGAGCAACTACGGCTTCATGGAAGGAGGAATCGAGTGTTTGTCTCACCAACTCCAGACAGTTGTGCACTAGGATGTCCCCAAAGCAGCATAGATACCCCAGAATCTTAGAGACGTAGATATTTAGAATATTGTGGCCTTTAGGCTTATATGAAACTTTAGCCAAAGGATGCCCTAATATAAGCAAACTTAACATGATTTTAAGCCATGAAATAGCATATCTAGTGCCTTTCTCTCTGTACCATTTGGTTAGAACAAAAGATAAAGGAAACAAACATTGATAGTTTTATCACTTTGAATGACTACTCAAAAGTAACTTCTGAGAAACAGAATTAGTAATTTTTTTGTAAGGGAAGTTCCTCTTTGACACAGCATAATTTGAAAACTAAAATGCTTGATTTAGTAACTTTTAAGTTAGTTTTTAGTATTGCATTGGAAAACAAGTCATAAATGCATTTCATTTTTCTGAGAGGGGGTTTTGCTCTGTTGCCTAGGCTAGAGGGCAGTGGCACAATCACAGCTCACTATAGCCTCAATCTCCTAAGGCTTAAGAGGTCCTTCTGCCTCAGCCTCCTGAAGAGCAGCTGGGTCTCCAGGCATGTGCCACCATGCCGTGTGTGTGTGTGTGTGTGTGTGTGTGTGTGTGTGTTATAGAGAGGGTTTTGCCATGTTGCCCAGACTGGTCTTGAACTCCTATGTCCAAGTGATCCTCCCACTTCAGTCTCCCAGAGTGCTGGAATTACAGGCATGAGCCACTGTGCCTAGCCCATAAATGCATTTATTAATGAAATAATATTTTTGAAAGGGCCTAGCATAATGTTTGGGATATATAGTAGGTTTCTTAGGCTTTTAATGAGTTAAGTTTTTTTTCAAAGTTTTCTCTAACTGAAGGTTTTGTTTCATCCAGATAGCATATTTGGTTTGTGCATAGTGCTGCAAAAAAATCTTATTAGTCTTTTAAAAATCATTTAGTTCCATTTTTACTTTCTATTATATCCACTAACTAAAAGCTCTCTAGGCATCTTATGCTATATAAAACACACCTAAAGCAGAGAGGCAGAGTTCTCTGGTATTGCTTCAAACCACTAAACAAATTAATTGGCCAAATTGATTGAGTACAAAGCCTCATTGACCAAATACTGTCTGTATAAATATTTTGTTTTACCTCTTACTTGAGTTTAAATATGACCAGAGACCTGACTTAGTGAGAATTAAATTTTTTTCCATTTATTTTACTGCTTTAAACTTTTCTGAGGATATTCATATTTCTTTTCTAAGAATCAAACTCATTCACTAAGACCTTGTCAAACCTATTTCAATGTTTTCCCCAAAGAAATTCAACCTTTAGTGTAGTAAATTCTGTTGTCCCTGTGTGTTTCTGATTTGGTTATTTTTCTTTGCTCCCTGAGACCCCTCCTTGTCTCTAGCTCTCCACATAACTATTGTTATTGGAAGCCATAGTCTATTCTCATTTCTTTTCACACTCATACATCTTCACTCAACCCTGAGGCTGACTCAAATAGCGTTTGGGTCATTCTTTTTTTTCCAGCCATTTGTTGGCCTGCTGACCATTCACTGGGTTGGCAAACCCGGAGCATGTACCTTGTGCTACACTTTCAGCTCGCTCAAGCCCTCAAAGATGAATAAGGGAGGTTGGAGTCTAATCCACTTAGCCACAGCTTTGGTGTAGAGTTTCTGTATGGCGCCTGGCCTAGTCTGTCATGGTTCGAGTGTTAAGAAAAAGAATCAAGCAGTGCTTGCATAGATGTCTTGTTCCCCCTTTCCGGGTTATATTGATGCCTGTTGGGGCCCCATTTCTCAGCGTGGCTATCTGGTCATTCTGACCTTATCTTAAGTGTTTATTTCTGTCAGAAGATCTGTCCTTAGATCTCACTGCTGCATACTCTGTTGCCCTACCTGAGTCTTCATCACCGAGAGAAAAGCTTCCATATCAGACCCAACCCAGCCTTTAGACGCTGCTCTGACAATAGGACAAAGGGCACAAGG